TTTGAGCAATGTAAAGTAAAATTAGGTAATGTCGAATCAAGCCACTTATTCATGTTGTTTTTTTTTTTCTTTGAGCTTTTGCTTTTGTTAAAGTCTTGTTCTTCACGTCGTCATCCATCACCAACAAGTTGTTAATACATATTTAAAAAATAAAATCATGGTAGCATACCCAACGAGGCCAATTAGCTGGCCCAACAAGGCCAAGTTTGTAGCGTGTTCAGTTTACCATCCAAGCCCAATTAAGCCCAGGTTGATAGCAAGCCCAATGAAAAAAACAGGAGGAGAGAAAGAGGAGGGAAGGAGGGGTGAAATAAAGGAGAGGATTGGGCCTTTAATCGAACATCTCTCCAATTTTTTTTCTTCTCTCTTCTTTACTTTTTCCACACGCTTTAACAATTTAAATACAAAAATAATAATAGCAGGCATACAAGTTCCAATACAAATATTCTCACGTTACCCCTCTTTTATTGGACACCAACACAACTAACCGAACGAGTTGTTTTTTATAGCCAGTTAGAATTAAGATTTTCTTTTCAGAATCAACTATTTGTTTTGCAAGTTTAGCATCTTGACAGGTTTAAACTTTCATCGTCATTTCAGACACCAAATTAGCCATTCTTACATATGATTATGCTAGCTTTGCTGCCCAAAAAATAACCATTCGAAATTAGAGTACTTGAAATTAGAGTTGCTATGCAATTTAGTGATAAATCTTATAGGAACCTTTTTGTATTGTATGTTGGGGAGTTTTGTTGTTGGATTGACATGAGATGGCTACTGGAATTTAATTAGAATTTAATTGATATCGTAGTTATGAAACGTGATATTTAACTGTATCATCACTACTAAAAATGATATTTAATTGATATTATGTTACCAGTCACGACGTGTATTTCTCATGGTTCCAGACAAGACATTAATTACATGTCATTTTTCTAGAACACTAAATGTTTTTTTTTTTTCCTTGTATTTTCGAGACATTAATTACATGTCATTTTTCTAGAATACTCAGTGTTTTTTCCCCCCCTTGTATTTGCAAGACAACAATGTTTAAAAGACAATTCTCCAAACCCATTAAACGGCCCATGAATCCAAATGGGTTAAATGACGCTTTTTATAATCATACGATCCTAACTATGGACACAAACAAAAAGCTAATTGGATTAAGCATGGAAAAAAAAGGTAATGAATTATCAGAGAGCATTGTGATTTGTAAACAGAAAAGTGTTGAACAGTATAAAAAAGCTATAATTTTAACCGGAACATGTAAATCTTGAAAGCATATTTTATTAGATAATGATATAAATGATAATTGATGTAATTTAATGAATACTTTGATGGGCAGGGCATTTCAAACATATTTTTATATAATTTAATATATTTAATTATAGAATTGATTATACATGTAAAAAATAGGTTTAGAGCCCGTTAGGCTCTACGGCTGCGGCTGTGTTTTTATTAAAAACTCAGTTGCAACTGTTTGGTTAGAAAAAATGGAGGGATACTATTCACTAAATCCATATTTTTTCTGCGTTGAAAACGTAGAATTTGAAAAGCAAGAATTACTTGCTTTTTCACGGTTCACGCAATTGCCTGTTCATTGAACAGTGCAATTACGTGAACAGTGCAAAGTGGTGCACTGTTCACTTAAAATAATGAACAGTGCAATTCTCTTGTACTGTTCACTGCGTGGATATATATATATAGAGATTATTAATTTTTTTAACTATTTTTGTTAAAAAAAACTAGTTTAGGGTGATTTTTATTAATGATAATATTTTATCTAATTTCATTATACGCTAAAAAATTATAAAAATTATAGTTCTTGTCGGATATATGTAATAACAATAGTTAAATTTATAACATTAAATTAAAAATCATTAATATTAATATATATTTTTTAAAATTGTTTTATAACCTCAATTTCAAAAGTATTTTTAACCAAACACATTAAATTATTTTTTTTTCAATCTCAATTTTAACCACAGTTTTAACCAAACATCTATTTTTTCAAATCAACCTCAGTTAAAAGTACTTTTTATAAAATAACTTTTTTCAAATCACAACCACAACAGCTACCACAATATCAAACACATTTTTAAAAGACTACATATTTAGATTAGCTTAGCTAACAACAGAATAAAAATAAGTATGTAAGGCTATCAAATCAGATTTGTCATAATTAGATTAAAAAAAAAATATATAGGCCAACAAGTGATGACATGTTATTTACCCTTAATTTTTTTAAAAATAAAACAAAAATAAATAATGTGTTGTCCAAGAATTCAACTTTTAACTACTAACAAAGTGGTTGAAAAACTCATTTCAACCACTTGTAGACTATCAATTAGTCAGTTATCAACCTCAAAAACCATAAAATTATCCTTGAAAATCAAAACCTAATTGAAAAAAAATATATTTATCAACCCCGATCCATTTTATTAGATAATGATATAAATGATAATTAATTTAATTTAATGAATACTTTGACGGGCAGGGCATCTCAAACATATTTTTATACAGTTGAATATATTTAATTACAGGATTGACTATACATATAAAAAATAGGTTTAAAAGACTACACATTTAGGTTAGCTTAGCTGACAAGAGAATAAAAATAAGCACATAAGGCTATCAAATCAATTTAACGTAATTAGATTTTTTCTTTTAGAATAGGCCAACAAGTGAATGATATGTTGCTTATCCCTTAATTTTTTTTAAATAAAATAAAAGCAAATAATGTGTTGTACAAGTCTTCAAATTTTAACTACTAGCAAAGTGGTTGAAAAACTCATTTCAAATCATTTTAACCACTTGTAGAGTATCAATTAGTCAGTTATAAACCTCAAAAACCATAAAATTATCCTTAAAAATCAAAACCTAATTGAAAAAAATATATTTATCAACTCTGATCCATTTTTTTTCAATAAGATTAAAGGCAAAAAAAACACTACAGTAAAACTCTTCTCGCTGACTAAAGCCTGTTAAGACGAAGAACAAGTTTTTTGGTTGCTGAAAATTGAACAACCAACGACTCTCCTACTTTAGTGTTTTCAGGAGACCATCTCTCTCCCATGTAGCAACCATGGACATCAACGTGAAGAAAAATGAACTACTGGATCAAAGCACATGATTGAAAAACTACATAGACCAGAAAGAAAGGTGGCCAAAATCCAGAGGCAGGAAAAAAAAACACCAAAAGGGATTTATTTTTTTTTTAGGGAAAAGAGGCTGGATTGTTTTCCCGTGTTTCAATTCAAGTCCTTTGAATTTTATTTCAAACAAACAATAGATTGTATTTTTCTTGGGCAAAACCATACATTAATCCAATGTTGAAATATTTCACCGATATCACAAGGACCCTATACTAACCTGATCAAACCGAACTCCAGGCCATAGCTCAAAACAAGTAAACGCTAAAAGATCCAATTAAAATGAAAATGATGGTTGAAATAATTGGATAATATTATAAATAAATTATTATTTATAAAACATTACATGAAACTTTACGGGTTGAAAATATTTTTCAACAAGTAAACAAGAATGAAAAAAAACATCAACCAAATGGAGAGTCCATAAATTGAAACAATAAAACACAAAGCAAGGTTATTTTTTTCCCAACTGATTAAAACTTTTGCTCCTGTAGGACACCAGGTCCCTTGCCGTTCCAATAAGTTAAATAAAAGTGTTGGGGAGATGACACGTGTTATAAAATTATCAGGAAAATAACACAATTTGTAGTTTAAGCACAGCTATTCTCGAGAACAACAATTATTTTAAAATAATTAATATATACAAAAATCAATCTAAAATTTCATGAAAATCTAATGATTAATAGACGAGATTTAAGATCCAATAACCATGGAGAAAATATAGATAAGATTACGTGAAGGGGGGAGGACGAGGGAACAAAAAAAAAAAAAAGAAGGTCAGATATTGAACTCTATCGTCGACATACACGGTATTGTTAGAAAGCACTTGAGAAAATGATTATAACCACGTATTAAAAAACCACTCAGTAAGATCATAATTGATAAGAGGTTTTGTTCAAAGTTAATTAATAATTATTTAAAACCCTATTTTGTGATATTTCAAGGTCTTGTTAGAGTTCCAATATGTCCAGGTGTCTTATTCTTTCTCCCCCCTTCCTCTCCTTATCTCTTCTATCACATCAACCTGTCTCATTTCTTTTCCCCAGTCATTCGATCTTGAATATTATCTGTTGACAATTAAATCTTTATAAAATTAACAATTAACTTTTATCAAGAGTAATTAATTTGCATAAAATATGCATTTTGGTTCTAACTAAACAAATGCTATTAAAAACAGTCGATTATTTAAAAAATTAATATTTTAAAATATAATTATATTTAAATTATATTATTTTTCAAATACTTTTACAACTGATATCATTATTCCAAAACTTGTACCAATCTATATCTTAAAATATTCCAAAACTTGTACCAATCTATATCTTTTTTTAAAAAAATCGTAGACATCGGGTCAATCAAAACCCTATTTAATGCTTCCTAACTGGCGTCCTTAGCTCTACCCAGTTGCAATCACGTCCAACGAATAAAACGCAGTACAATAATTATTGTAAGCAATATATATATATATATATTTTGCCCCCTCTGCAACGCAATTGTTTGTCGTCGGCGAGGGGGGAACGAAATGTTAGAGTGGAAGTTCATGCTTCAGATGGAAGCGAGGTCCATCAATGCAGAGCCCAAGGATCCCACTGTAGCTACCTGTAACCAGCCTAGCCCAAGGCATCCTAGTCCTAGCCACCACTAACCAGCCTAGCAGTCCCAGGCAGGCATCGTTTCCTTTTGTTCTTTCCAGTGAAAGGATACAACTCCCGCGGCAAAACCAAAATTTCAAATGTTTAGAAATAAAAGGCGGGAACAGCAATTTTACACTTGTCGATTTACAAAGGAAAACGGAAAGATTTCGCGGGTCCTGTCTTCATTACACCTCACCGAATAAATAAACAGAATTATATTTTTATTTTATTTAATCCATCCCCGTTTCCCCACTCCTTTCTTCGCCTCAACAAAGAATCACAGAAACCTAACAAACACGCCTTTCTTTTCGTCCCCAAACCACCATCCATTTCTCTCCATGGATCGCCCGACAAGGAAAAGCTTGAAGAGAAAATTGGAGCAGGATTTCGAACACGAAAATCAAAGCCGCCAGAAGATTCCCGCCACCGACGGCTTTGAGACTCACCAAAAACTTACGTCCAGTATTCAATCGCTAGTTGATATCCTCAATTCCACCTTCTCTTCTCTTGAAGCCGATCGCGCCGCCGCCAAGCGCGCCACTAGCGCCCTCTCTCAAATTGCCAAGAACGGTACCTTGTTTATTTTTTTGGATCTTTTTTTATAAAATAATTGTTCAATATGGTGAATTATTATTATTATCATTATCATTTTCTTTTTCCATATTTAAGATGAAACTATTGGGTGCGTTTTTCGTAGAGGAAGTAGTGGATACGATAGTGGATTGTGGTGCGGTACCTGCGTTGGTGTTGCACCTTCAAACACCACCACCTCTGAGAGGAGAAAATGGCCCAAAACTGTATGAACATGAAGTGGAGAAAGGAAGTGCTTACGCTCTTGGACTTCTTGCAGTAAAAGTAAAGTTAATTTGATTGTTTTACGCTAGTTGTTTTCTTATTCTCATTATAGTGCCGCATGATTATTTCAAAGGTTTCTTGAGCTTGCTGTTTATTTTTTACGCACTAATCAGGCAATCAGCTAGCGGAACACACAGTGGTGGATAAAACAAATAAATTTGCAATAAATGGAATATAATAATAAAATTTATTGTAATTAGCAAATCGTATTTTCTTTTACAATGTATGTCATTTAACTTTATTCTGCTTGAAAATGATTACAGATAGACTTTCTGTTTACTACATGAAAATGTTACCCTTTCTTTAATTTGTTCCTGATTTAATGATTCCCTTATCTGCCGTTCATCAGCCGGAGCATCAACAACTAATAGTAGATGCTGGAGCTCTGACCCACCTCGTGGAATTGTTGAAGAGACATAAGAGTGCTGATAACTCTCGAGCAGTCAATGGTGTTGTTAAGAGAGCAGCTGATGCAATCACCAACCTTGCCCATGAGAATAGTGGCATTAAAACACGTGTCAGGTTTGCTTAAATGGATAGCTCTCTTTTTTTCCTGGGTATGGTTTCAATTGTTATTATACATATTTTATGGCATCTTTGATTATGTATTCAGGATTGAAGGTGCCATTCCCTTTCTGGTTGAATTGCTTGATCATGCTGATAATAAGGTACAGAGAGCAGCTGCAGGTGCCTTGCGGACCCTTGCGTTTAAAAATGACGAGAACAAAAATCTGGTAGGGGGGATTCTTTTTTTCTTCATCCACTAGCATTATTTCGTGGTATGGGTTCTATTGTTGACTTGAAGAGCAAATTTGCAGATTGTAGAATGTAATGCCTTACCCACTCTTGTAATAATGCTTCGATCAGAGGATACTGCTATACATTATGAAGCGGTTAATTCTTAACTCAACTTTTCAGCTGGATTTGCATTCTGATTGTATAGTTTTATGTACTAACTGACCGTGCAAGGGATCGTTGTCAGGTTGGTGTGATAGGAAACCTAGTTCACTCTTCCCCACACATAAAGAAAGCAGTTCTTCTTGCTGGTGCTTTACAACCTGTAATTGGATTGCTAAGGTATTGCTGACCCGGACATTGTTGCCTGTTCTTGCTCAGTCACTCTTTTCATAATATAATTGTCTGCTGCAAGATCCTCACGGATATCCCTCTTAATTTATATATTGTGCAGTTCTTCCTGTTCAGAAAGCCAAAGAGAGGCAGCTTTGTTTGTTGGGCAATTTGCAGCTGCTGATTCAGATTGCAAGGTAGACTGAATACCATTCCTGTTTCAAGGCCTAAAGGATTTGACCTTACGTGTGCATCCATGTGTTTGATACTCATTTCTTTTTAAAAGTTAACTAGAACAAGGTTCATGCAGGTGCACATTGTTCAGAGAGGAGCTGTGAAGCCATTGATTGATATGCTTGAGTCCTCAGATGTGCAGCTCAAAGAAATGTCAGCCTTTGCACTTGGGAGGCTGGCACAGGTTATTGTTTGATCCTATCGTGGAGTCATGCTTTATTTAAAACATGCATACATATACATCTTGTTGTCTGTCGAGCATGCTGCGTGTGCATGTCTGCTTGTAGTATAGACTGCACAAAAAGCAACTCTAAGCATCAAAGCAGCAAAGGGACTCATTATTTTGACAGACATTTCTGCTTTTATTTTATCAAGAAATGGACTTCTTCACTCTTTATGACACATCCTCTTCCTCTTTTTGACTGCTTGCTTCTATCCTGAAACAGGCTTTGTGCAAACCATACTACACAAACGGGAAATTTTGGTTTAGAATTTGATCCATCTCTGTAGTCCCTAGGTAAAGAAAAGGAAGTAGAAGTAAAAATAATGACACCCTAATCAACTGTAAGACAAACTTTTGTCTCCATGGAATGGTAACTGCTTGTGTATGATTAAATATTATAAACAAGGCAGTCTGATTTGCAAGGGTTATTTACTTTCTGGACTTTCTTAAAACATCTTCTTAGTTGCCTTATTTCCTTGTAATCTCAGGAAACGCACAACCAAGCAGGCATTGCCCATAGTGGTGGCATCGTCCCATTACTTAGGCTCCTTGATTCAAAAAGTGGACCTCTCCAACATAATGCTGCATTTACCCTATATGGTCTTGTTGATAATGAGGTATGATTAAGTTTGTCTCTTCATTGCTTAAAGAATAGTCTGGTACTGCTAGTCCCTACATCCTTATCCAACACTGGAATCTACTTGAACTTATTTGGATTCTTTTGTAGGATAACGTTGCAGATCTTATCAAGTTTGGGGGTTTCCAGAAACTCCAAGATGGAGAATATATTGTACAAGTATGTTCCATAGTGTTATATCTGATCTTCCTTGGCTACTTTTTTTGGTGCTAAAAATTGAATAACCTCTCACACTGATGGAGCTGGTAGATTATTACTTTCTTCCCAATCTTATTCAGTTTATTGCAGTACTCTTTTCCAGATCTTATTGTTATAATCTGATACTTTGCAGCAAACAAAGGATTGTGTTGCGAAAACAATGAAAAGGCTAGAGGAGAAGATTCATGGACGAGTAGGTTCTCATATATGTAAATGATATTTTTCATCACTGTTTTCCTATGTTAGTTCTTAAAATTGTCTTTCTTGCCTGATATATTAACTTAGAAATAAGTTCCTGGTACAATTTGTTATCAGCAGTGCACTGATTGTGGTTGTCTGAACAGGTATTGAACCATCTCTTATATTTGATGCGGGTTTCAGAAAGGAATGTTCAGAGACGAATTGCTTTGGCTCTTGCTCATCTTTGTAGTCCTAATGACCGAAAAGTAATTTTTCTTCATAAAAATGGTACAACTTTTCGATCTGCCAAATTGTATGGTCTTTCTATATGTGATGGTTATATTTATACGGGACAAGTTTCTCATGGTTTGTTTCTAAATGCGTCTTGCAGGTTTAGATTTGCTGCTGGGGCTTCTCGAGTCTGGAAGCTTGAAACAGCAACGTGAGGGCTCAGTGGCCTTGTACAAGTTGGCTACCAAAGCCACATCAGTCTCTCCTGTGGATTCAGCCCCTCTATCTCCTACCCCACTGGTGAAACTCCTTTTCATGTTGATTTCTTTCCACATGTATAGACTCCTACCATGTTTGTAAGGTTTGACCAGCAGGATGTACATCTCCAGCAACAGATTGTGTGGTCGACCTCTAATTATTCATCATTTTATAGATTGTTGGTTCTGACTTGCAATTCCATTTCATTGAGCTTTGGTCCATGCCACTTTCTGTTTTTATTTTAATCCTATTATTTCAAAAACATTTTTTTAATCTCTTCTTGAGCAATTGTTAAATTTTTATAATTCAGTTTCAAGGTTATTATCCTGTTCTTTGAGTACATTGTTAAGCCCATATTTTGAGGTTATAAACAACAGCAGAAAAATAATTTTCTTACTTATTATTTTTCCGTAGGTGTATTTGGGTGAGCAGTACGTTAACAATCCTACATTGTCTGATGTTACATTCTTAGTTGAAGGTACTGAAATTTTCTATTGTGCAGCAAGTTTATGTTTGATAAAATGTCTTTTTATGTCATGATAAATTATGGTTTGTATGTTTATGGATATTTGCTAACATTAATATTGAGTGTAATTTTGCTGTTGGCAGGCAAACGGTTCTATGCTCACCGAATTTGTCTGCTGGCTTCTTCGGATGCTTTCCGTGCGATGTTTGACGGGGGTTATAGAGTGAGAATTGACTTATTTAAGAACTTTCTTTTGGCTTTTAGTTACAAATAGCTTTGCTCCACTCTGTCATTTTGCCTTCTCTACTGATGCATGCACTATTCACCTTTACCCAACTGTCATGTATTATCTCCGAGGGTTCATCATTCATCAGATTTCTTCACATAAGTGTTTCTTGTTATTGAGGAGCTGCTCGGGTTGTTAAGGACTACAATTAGATTGATTAAACTGATCTGTGCAATAATTTGCACTTTTGCATTCAGTTAATATATTCCAGTTGAAAAGAATTTTGTAGGAGAAGATGGTAAACGGATGCTTGATTTAATCACATTAAAACATGACACGCAGGAAAGGAATGCTAAAGATGTGGAGATCCCAAATATTAGATGGGATGTTTTTGAATTGATGATGAGGTGTGAATTCTAAGCTAAGCTTTCTATCTTAGATATTAAAGCAAATGTGTTTTAGAATTCTGATAGCTTCCTCGTGCACTTCTAGGTTCATATATACAGGATCAGTGGAAGTCAATATAAATATTGCTCAGGATCTGCTTAGAGCTGCTGACCAGTATCTTTTGGATGGCCTCAAGCGTCTCTGTGAATGTACCATTGCACAGGTTAACTGATTTACTATGTCAATGGGTGCTATGAGTAAACACTATTAGCACATGATGGCTTGAGAGGTTGTCTGACGAATTCTCAATGTCTCACAATAGGATATTTCTGTGGAAAACGTTTCTCTCATGTACGAGTTGTCCGAGGGCTTCAATGCTATGTCATTAAGGGAAGCATGCATTCTGTTCATACTGGAACAATTCGACAAGTTATGTACCAAGCCATGGTATGTTATCTTCTCAATGCACATCCTTCCCCAAGATTTGTTATGAGTTTCTAGTATTTGGGAATTTGCATGGTGTTAAGCAGACTGAGGTCTTGGCTTTGTTTTAATTGGATCGGGCAAGCAAATGGAGAGCAATTGTGAAAAGCTTTCTTAAGAACAAAAGGCTCCGATTTGGAATTCACACCTCTTTAAAATGCGTATTTTGAAATCTGAAGAAGTGTCTTCAGTATCTTTTCAACATAAATTTCAAACATATCCCGGTTAAGTTATAAATGGGTTTTAAAGTTTCTTTTTTTCCCCCCCTACAAATAAGGCATCCTTTTCGAAGGTTAATGGGCAGGTTCGACTTTGAAATATGCAGGTCATCTAGTTTGATCCAACGCATTATGCCCGAGATACGCAATTACTTTGAGAAAGCACTAAGCAAGCCTACCAATCTATCTTGAGGGGACCAACTGTAGATTGATTCAGCTTGGATCTTGATATTTCAACTAACCATTATGATGGAAGGCAACGAGTGTACATAAATCTTCAAATTGTCGAGCTAGTGTGGGGAAAGTTGGCTATTGTCTTCTTTGCATAAGCAGTCAGTGAAGTCCCATGTTCTTGCAAATCCCACCCTTTCGTTCTCTTACTTTTCCTTTGATCATTCATTCATCTAGAAATAATCGGTGGTTTGGGTCACTACGCAACACGTAGATCTTCCGCCAGCCTAATATGGTAGTAAAGTAGCCGTCTATGTAGCAGGATGCTAATGGATGTGCCCAAACATAGCAATTGAATCTGTAGGCGTCGTACTGTCTTCACCGGTAGCATTTATTTGCAATTATTTTCCTTGAAAGGTCTTTTTTTCAGTTCTCACTCCTTCCTCTTTTCGTGTGGATTTTCTATCGCTGAACAATGAATGATCAAGAAATTTGTGTAGAATTGTTTTAAAACAAACAAAAAAGAGTTTTTTTTATCATGCATTAATGATGAAACCGATGGATTGATAGGATACTACTGCATATTATTAAAATCACACAAAATCATCAAACTAATATCGTGGAAAAGCACTCTGATCAAATTAATAGTTTCTTCAGTATTATTGTGGTTTTAAGAAATAGATTTAATTATGATTTTAAAAAATACATGTTTGTTATAAACTTTTGTGAGATAGATTTTTATATGTAAAAAATAAGTTATTCTAGTTTTTATAAAATTAAGGTTTAAAATGCAATTACATACAGAATCTAGTATAAAAAATAGAAACTATTTTACTAAATAAATTGGTTTTTTCGGCTATGGTTTAATAAAAAATAAAGCTACTACAATATCAAATGATTAAGCTCTAAAAAACAAAACCTAACACCCCACTGCTGTGCTTAAATTAATTTTTTAATATTTTTAAATAAATAAAACTCTTAAAAACAAAACCTAGCACACCACTGCTGTGCTTAAGATTGTACTATGCTCGTTAACGCGGCCCATTATCTGTTTGAATTAAAATTATGGACCAGTCAAGTTAAAAAAGAAAGCCCAGTCCAATCCACAATAACTCGTCTCGAGGAAAGTAAGGAGAGGAGGATAACTAAGAAGGAAAGGACAAGATAAGAAACAAACACAGCGGTTCATTTTATTAGTAGCAGAAGACAAGGGAGGCAGGCATGGGTGTAGAGGTCCTGGGACTATGGTTGCCTAATCCAGCAGTCCGGTTCAAGAGGCCGCCATTTCTTCACTTCTCACCTCCAACTAGAGCATCACTTGTTACACCAGCTTCTCTCTCTTCTCCACCCCCCACCATCCAGGCAACAATCTCTTAATTCATCTTCCCGTCTTTTCCTTTTCTATTTAAAGTTTTCCTTTCTTTTTATTAATTAAAAGGCTTGGAGCAGATTGTTGGTGGAAAAAGTACTCCAAGTTGGCAAGGAAGTGGAAATGATGTTTGTGGAGGAGGAGAAGAGACCGACTGGAACGATTTTGAAACTGATCTTTATCATTGGACCAAACCACTGCGTCCTGTTCAGGTACAGGGTTTTTTTGTCAATTTTAGCCATTGAGTATCGTGTTCATTAAGTGCTTAGTTTTTTTAAGAGAAAAGAAAAATGAATGCTGGAAATTGGGGCAGTGGTATCCAGGTCATATTGCGAAAACGGAAAAAGAACTTAAAGAGCAACTCAAGTTGATGGATGTTGTCATTGAAGTTCGAGATGCCAGAATTCCCTTGTCTACTACCCATCCACAGGTTAGGCTAACCACTTACAAGCCATTGCTGTAATACAAAACCAAGTTTTAAGTCTGCTTGTGTCATTTGTTTGTTGGGTTTTTCGTGTTTTTCTTCAAGTATCATGTTTTCGTTTTGTTTGGTCCAATTGAAAGTAATTGTGCTAGATGGTTTATGAGATTTTGGTCCTTGTGATACATGAAGAAATATTTTTATACATGTATATATATCATCACTGAAGATAGTTTTATTCAATTCCCTTCCTTGCTTTTGATGTTTCTCAACGATCCAGTAAGCTGATGCTTTAGGACTGTGTAGTTCTTGGCTCTGAATTTTCTTTCTTCCCTTTTCCTTTCCTTTTTTTCATTTGTGTGTGTGGGTAGATGGACGTGTGGCTTGGAAATAGGAAAAGGATTTTGGTCTTGAATAGAGAAGATATGATATCTAAGGCAGACCGGAATGCCTGGGCTACTTATTTTGCAAGACAGGGAATAAAAGTTGTCTTTTCCAATGGCCAACTTGGAATGGTATGTATAGGCTAGAAATTCTCGTTCAGCTTCTTTAGTAACATTTTGTCATAGAGTAATTTTTTATGTGGGAAATACAGGGTACCATGAAGCTGAGCAGGTTTGCAAAGTCATTGGCAGCAAGTGTAAATGTCAAACGCAGAGAAAAAGGACTCCTTCCTCGTCCCGTGGGTTTCCTAGCTCAGTCAAGCCAGTACCAATCTTTTGTTCTTAAATTTTCTGCTAAGTTCACGTGCTTGTTACATGAATTGGGCCCCTTGTCAGCTTTAGTTTGAAATTTCAGTCTCATTGCTTTTCTTTTCACTTGAATTAGAAAAATGCTGTTAGGCCCATGTCATATAATGTATGACCATTATAGATGTCATGAAATCATTTTAACTATATCATTAAAACTACTATCCAAAAAGGAACATGCCATTCGACCACCTTCCTTTTGATTCTTTGATTTCCAAAGCAAATCTTGACAAATATAGTTGAAATGTCATAGTAAGGATTTGTTTTCATCCCAAGGTTGTATTATAGAGGTAAACTTTGTATTTGCGGGTGTTCTCTAGAGGAATAGATAGTCAGTGTAAAAAAAAATATTTTTTTGGGAGACATTGATCCTTTATTACCATTGTTTTCAGTCATAGCTATCCATGAAACCTAATTTTCTGAAGCTTGGCAAAAGAATATCATTAACTTTGATGAAATTTATTTCACTATTGTACAGGTTCGAGCTGGAATAGTCGGGTACCCAAATGTTGGGAAGTCATCCTTGATCAACCGTTTACTGAAGCGTCGAATGTGTCCAGCAGCTCCCAGACCTGGAGTTACAAGAGAGTTAAGGTATGCATTTATTTATTTTGCTTAAATATCATCAAGAATGTTAAATTATAAATAAAAGGTATTTAAAATGGAACCATCAAAAGCATAAGTTTTAACCTGGAGTTATAAACAAGTTAAGTATGTGACTACATATTCATTTAATTTGCATCAGTACTGTGGAAAATGTGAAATAGAAGCAAACATAAACTAAAACGGCGGACTCAAGGGAAAGTCTAAACTTACAAGTCCTGAATCAGATGCAGTCCTTGAGGAATTTACAGATCTCTAATGTACTGAGAATCTTGTAGACATATTAGTGTTTGGAAAATTAGAACCTCAGCATCCTTAATGACAACAGATTTAGCATTGCAAGGTTTGAAGATTTTATAAATCTAACAGAAAAGAGACCTTCAAGCTTATAATTTACCTGCTCTTTTGGGTGTGATATGAGAAAGAAATAATGGCTATAGTTATATGCTTGACATGTTATGTTCTCTTTGTGTCTCTTCCTTGCTCCTTGGAAGATGGGTTCGATTCGGGAATGACCTTGAGCTGCTAGACTCTCCTGGAATAATCCCAATGCGGATCAGTGATCAATCAGCTGCTATAAAGCTTGCTATTTGTGATGATATTGGAGAGAGATCCTATGATGTAACTGATGTTGCTGCAATTCTTGTCCAAATTCTGACAAAGCTCCCAACAGTGGGTATGATTGCATTGTTCACGGTTCCAACTTCCTGCTTGCTATAAACGCCTACAAAAGGAAAGAAAAGAAAAGAAACGATGGCTTCTAATACCATCTTTTGTTGCCTGTCAGGTGCAAAAGCTCTTAATAACCGCTACAAGATGGATGCTGATGACTTCTGTGGTAAAATGTATGTCTTACACAGCCCATCGTTTTCTATATTTGCGATATGACCCAAGTACGCGGCTAAGAGGCTCGAAGGGCTTAGAAAGCTCGGTTAGGAAACTTAAATTACCATACCTTTTTATTGCGTACTTACTGAAAAAAGCAAATAACCCGTAACCCCACAAACCAATTGCAATTTGGGCAGATGAAACTCTACTCATCCCATTAAAAGTGCAGTTTTTTATTTGCTTGTTGCCAAGGCAAGTAGCCGGACATTCCATTGCATAAATATTCCTGATCGGTTTTGTTGCTGTAAATTTTTGAATGCAGATTTGTCCAGAAGCTTTCAGTTCACTTGTTCAATGGGGACACCCATCAAGCAGCTTTTCGCATCTTGTCTGATTTTCGAAAAGGGAAGTTTGGTTGGGCGGCACTGGAGAGGCCTCCCAGGTGATGATGATGGTGGCTTTGTTTTGAATGTCCGCTGATACTTCAGTCTGTGGCTAATGCCTCGAGAGTGCCAAAAGGTAGCTTGAGCAGCACTCGAATATTGTGGAAATTGATCTTGACTTTGAGTGAAGGGATAACTAAAGATTTACTGTAAATCTCTTCTGCGGAAATCAAATAGCACAACTCAGAAAATTGGCAGGGATAAAAAAAAAACTGGAGTTGTATAGAAAAGGAAAATCTCCAGCCTTTTGTTGTAATCTACTTGGTTATATCTAATTCTTGACAATTGTTGTCTGCAGACAAGTACTATTTAAACCTGTTGCCCCATTAGGTTGTGAATCAAAATTAAAATATAGCATGTGCTTGTATATTGCACTCTGATTAAAAGGCTTGCCAATCAGCTAAACTTGGCAATAGCATGTAGTAGTAATTTCTAGTTTTTGGGATTTCAATCAAAAAGTGCCATTTTATTGTACATGACACATGGCAGTTAATACAAACGCATCTTTCTGTTTGTTGTTTTTCTAGCTGCTCTTCGTTGCTTATTTGCCGTTTCGGGTTCAGAAGTCGAGGGACTGCGGTGTGAACTTTGAATGATGTGATGACACAGTGCTCGAAATTTTCTTTGAGACAGGCTGGCTGACATGCTGCTCTGGGTTGCTGCTTGAGGGTGCACAGCAGTCTTGAAGCTCCTGTGCGAGCTTTGTTGACAAAACTCCTTGTTACTGGAAAAAAAGGGTTTTTTAACATGTACAGGAGAACTTTTGCAGGCAAATGCCTACAAACTGTTGA